AGGCATATTTAACATGCAGTATGTAGACAGGACATTCTGAAAAATAATTTGACGGTGGACTCAACGGGATCAAATGGAAGAATGGAATTACATTCCAGACGAGGTTCCCAGTGACTTTAAATTAACCTCATGCCGTGATGGTTATATCCTCAAGTCATATTTCTCTGTCGTATAACCCGCAGCATTCAGGGAGGTGGCACGATGAGTTTTATCATCACTATTCTAAAAGAAATAGTAAACTAAAGAGATCTTATGGCCTCTGACTTCGAGACGCAGTTGGCGTTTTTCAGTTTTTGGCAGTGTTTGTTGACAAAATATTCAGAAGGCTATTGCACATGACATAAAATTTGTCATTTCTCCATTTTCATTTGTGTACGCGGGTTTAGCGTCTAAGCAGAGTGGCAGCACAACATCCTTTATGCTTAAAGCGTGAATTTCACCCCATCGGCTACTTACTTGGAAAGATATTCACAGATTCAACTTACGGCAGACAAATAGCTACAATCTCATTTTCAAAACAAGCTGTCCTCCGAAATGAATAACATTAGTCTGTGAGATGAGTGTGCCAGAACCATCTATAAGAAGTAACACCAAAAAGCCACTAACAAAATATAGAGAGGTTGTATTTTGGGGGGTAATCTTTACCTTGGAAATAAAGTCAGTACATCACCTTCTTTTACGCTGTGTATAAAGAGAATAGTTTACAGGGGAAATCTGACAGAATCTCACAGTCGTGCAGTCTTTTAAATTAGTTGTAGTTATTTATTGATGAGCTTTGAACCTCTTTTGCTATCAGTGCTAACACTCCTGTAGTGTTTTACTTACAAATCTATGTAGGCATTAGAGCCCAGCTAATTTATCGGCAGATTGATGTTATTAAATATGATCAAACATTAGCTATTCAGGCATTTGTAAAGGCCAGCACTGCAACTTTGCTGTTGGCAACTTGTATTTGGAGTGCGACAAACACAACACCTTGATGATCTAAGTCAGCGATCCCCAACATTTTTTGCGCCACTTACCGGTTTATGTCCGACAATATTTTCATGGACCGGCCTTTAAGGTGTCGCGGATAAATATAACAAAATAAAACCAGTACTGGTACCAGAAAAAAGACGATTTATGAATAACACATGGGAAAAGACCCACGAAACCGAATCAACGATAAAAACAATTAAAAAATAAAGACATAAAAACCGATAAAAAACGTGAAAACCATAAATTTCACACCCCAGCATAAACTCTCGCGGCCCGGTACCAAACAGCCCGGGGGACCGCTAATCTAAGTAGTTGGGGAGAACGTAACCCAGTAAATAAATAACTACATCTAGCAACTGTTTGGTAAATCTGTATTTGGTGTGGCTGAAATAAAAATTATAATGAAAATATCGGCCGATATCACCAAATATCTGTATCGTCTGAAAAATCCTATATTGTTCAGGGTCTAGTATGCATGCACGTAGTTTGGAGGTGGTACAGAATATTCCAATTCCTTTTCCCAATTGCCTGTTCAGTCTGGTTCTTACCAAGCAACATGAACCCAACATAAACTGGTCTTCCTAATGGATTCCCAGTGGTGTAAAGTTTCCAGATACCAGATATAAGGTATAATCCTTCTGCTGATTTTAGTGTGGCTACTACATGGAAATAGAAGCATGAAGCATCCTGGTTGAGTGTTTTACTTGGTTTATTCTAACTCTATTGAAATGTGCGTGGCTGAAACGCTAAAATAAAAAGCAGATTTTACACAAAGAAGCAGAAGCTAATAGTCATAATCACAGACTGTATAAAAAGTGGGGTTTTTTGAACAGCTAATCTGAGGCCTTGACCTGACTTTATCTACTTACTGAGAGACTTAATGTCAAAAGGAAAAATGGAGCACTTACATAATTTAATTTCCTAATATCTGAGTGTGGAACGGTAGAGCGGTGGTTAGCACTGTCGCAGCAAGAAGGTCCTGGGCTGGGGCCTTTCCAAACACGTGCATGTTAGGTTAACTGGCTGTACATGTGAATGTGATTGTGATTGGTTGTCTGTCACTACACGTTAGCCTGAAAGAGACGAAGAGATGAACTGTAGGTTGTATTCTGCCTTTCCCTCCACAATAGCTTGGATAGCCTCCAGCGCACCTGCGACCCTGAATGAGATAAGCAGAAAAATTAGATGAATGGCATAATTAAATCCTGCCATCACATACTTAATACCACTTTGTTTTCATGTGAGAACTGTAGGGGCTTTTCAGGGTTTCGGAGCTAGCATCTAATGCTTTAAAGCATTGGCTATGTGTGTCTTTTATATACAGTCTATTACCAACAGGAGCTTTAGCCCAGAACCTCTTAAGTGCACTAAAACAAATAATGGATCAATTTATTGCTGATTACATTCATTTTTTTAAATTCTAGCATGAGTTGTACAAGGAAGAATGTACTCCTCTATATATTTACTCAGCAAAGAATTACCTCATTATCCATTTACAGTAGTGTGCTTACATTAGTCTGCATTTATAGGTGTCTAAGCAAAAAACACTCCCTCAGCAAAATCCCTCACAGTCACAATCACTTCAGTATCAGCATTCCTGACCAGTACAATCATCCCCTTATCCTAACAGGCCCCTCAGCACACCTGTTTCGCCACCGGCTTATCTTCGCCGGAGCACTGTGACCTTTGCTGACCCCCATATGAGCTGTGAATATCCATGATCAGATTCCCATCAGGTGCTCTAATGGTTTTTCTTTTACAACACGCAGTTTTAGCACCTCCAGCTGATTTCCGTTATCCTGAGATTGATTGTGCTTCCCCTTTACCAGGGTTTGGCGTATCGTATACGAGGTCATTTCTCCTCAAATACAGATATGAATACGCGTAAATGAGTTATCTCATAAATAATGAAATAAATAGACTGGTGGTGCCCTTGAAGATATTTCTTCGTCCCATTTCCACGATGATCGCAGCTGAAGGCTGCTGCGGAGCAGATTGATGACGCCGGCTAATAGGGGATGTAGGATGTAAATGGGGATGTCTTGGTCGGCTGGTGGAAATGCTAAATAAGTATTTGAGCATTCGTGTGGTTTCTTTAAAGCCCTGTTGACGGGTGGCAGTGTCAGTTTATGATGCTGATGAGGGCTGGCGTGTGTGACTGTACATTTGTGCTGGGCTTATTTTAAGCGCTTGCACCCATATCCACTTCTGTGACAGCCTGCTGTTTGAAATGTTTGTGTTTTTCCACTTACCACTGATGTCTGCTACCTGCGCTAATTTGCGTTGTTTTTGTTTTTTCCTGCCTGCGATAGAAATTTGGAAGTTGTAAAAGCTGCATTATCGGGTAGTCGGGAGTAAATAGGCTCTGCGTGCCTTTAGTTCACATTGCAGCTCAATGAGGTTCTTGTTATAGTTCCGCTTTACTGATGGAGTGCCTCCACAGGAGTGTCCAAGGTACCTGCAGATCTTGAAAACACAACAAACTCTTTTGTTAGCGGCAGAAAACAAATACTCAATCAGTCTGGAACTCTCGCTGCGGCGGCAAACTATTTAATCAACCGTGGCTGTCGTCGAACGCTGTTAAGCGTTAAATGCATTGACTGCTGATAGAAGTCGGATGTCATTACAGCCTCCGGGGGCTTCTGCGTCCCCAACAGCGGCGCTAATTTATGCTGTCTTATTTTGCTTCTACCAAATTTACCATACAGAGAAATTGTCCGATTGTAAATTAAATCAGAGGGAATTGCGTTTCGAGAAGGATGGGGGGGGTCTGTTATCTGAGCTCTCCGGGACGCGTGACGTCCATTACGTGTGCCAACCTAAAATCGACCCTCATTACATTTTGTTTTGCTCTCCTTTCATACAGAGATTAGTACCATTTGTCACTTCTGTCATCTTGATTGTATCTTTGCATTAGTCGGAAACGACAAATGTCACAATTGCATTTTTTTTCTTTTTGCTGAGGTCCAAATTGTGTGGGTGTGTGTGAGAGAGAGAGAGAGAGCACTCTCATTTGTTTAAAGAGTCTACAGCAAGCTTTCTTCTTTCGAATCGCTTTCAGTAATAAGATCACGACATACAGAAATGTCAGGGTAGCAAAAATAGCACTGTATAAAGAATAATACAGATTATACATATTATTAAAATAGAGTAAAAATATTCCATTGGGCATATTTTTGTAGACTAAAGCCAGGCTTTGGAAAATACATTATGAAGCATGGCCTCCCCATGTGTCCTCTGACCTTCTCTGGCTTAATCGAGTCCACGCATTCATAAAAAGCCTGTAGCTAAATTAATTTGGGACCTCTATTTTCCAATCAGGGGCCCAAGGGAAAGCGTCTAAAAGGGACAGGATGGATGAGAAGATGGCGTGATTGATGACAGGGAGTCAAAGAGCGGTATGTGCTTTTGAGTAGGAGGAAGAGGATTACTGAGCCGGTGTGCGAGCACATCTCGGTGCACGCGGGTGTTATGATAGCCTTTGTCCCCCAGCAGCTCAGGCAAACAGCGTCATTAGCAAAAACCTCCTGGAGTGTAACCGCAGGGAAGACTCACATCCAGGAAACAGGTATTTCAGTTTGTCCCGGCTGACCTCGAAATAGCACGGAGCTACAAAACCCGGGTATTGACTCGCAGAGATATGCCCTCGTCAACAGCCGCATTTAGGCTACACAGCTGGAGGTTTGTGTAGTGCGCGGCGCTTGTGTGTGTAAGCTTAGCCAACGGGGGTCTAGAACTAGACCAAACGCACACCCGTGTAAGTCACACCTGCCAGTTCCAGTTGATCCTCTTTGAACTGTTTTCCTTAAAACTGACACATGGAGAAGGAGGAAAGAATAAACCCGCATGCATACACTCAGGCTTGTTTCTTTTCTACCTGCACCAAAATAAATTTTCTCTCAGCGACACAGATGGAATAAAAAAAAAAATAAGTTATTTGCTTTCAAGTTTCTTTAAAAAATTTTTTACATTTGAATTCATCGGCTCACTTTGTCGTCCCCTTTCTCTTTGTCGTTTCCTAGAAACGTCCTCCTCGATAATGGTGTACATGGATACCACGACCACAACAACGAGGACCTCCACCAGACCTCCTGTTACCACGACAACCACGACAACCAGGACCACCACCACCAAGGTGCCCGCCACGACGCCTTTGGTGGTCCAGTCGCCACGAACCACATCGGCAGTGGTGGAACCGTACCAGACAGTCTTGGAAGATTTGGAGCGAGAAGATGTCAACGCGGCGCCGGCCACCGCTAAGCTACCAAATCTTAGGGTGGAGTACTGCAGTCCACTGGTGATGATGGACGTGTCCTGGCCGAGGACGAAGCAGGGAACGTTAGCCAAGATGCCCTGTCCACCTGGATCATTAGGTATTTATATTTATTTATTTTGTCCTGTCTCACTTAACTGGCCACAGCAGATGGATGTCTAGTTCTGCTTGACGTTTCTTCCTGTTAAAGGAGGGTTTTTCTTTCCCACTGTTGCCAACTGCTTGCTCATTGAGGAGAATGTAATTGCTGGGCTAAAGCGCCTTGAGACGGCTGTTGTTGTGAATTGATACTGTACAGTTAAATAAAATTGTATTGAATTGAATTGAAGGAAAAGTTAGAGCAGGACTAAGACATGAGCATGTATGGATGGAGACAGGAACATCTGGTTGCTAGGGAAAAGTGTATATTCCCTCACTAGCTAGCAAGTGGTTGCTGGACTTTGCTAGCTGTTGCTAGGTGAAAAAATGTTGCAAAGAGGGTGCTGCACCAATAGCTTGTTAGTGAGTGTTTGCAAACTAAATCAGCCACAAAGTAACCATGTAGATGGAGTGAAACTTGAAAAAGTTGTGTCTCATCACTGAAACCAACCCATTTCAAAAGGTGCAACTCTTATTTTGAAAGTGAACAACTCCTTTTCAAGTAGTTGCAGAGTTACTGCAGACAAGTTGGCAACTTTTATGCAAACAATGTGTGACTGCAGCAGCCTTATAGCAACCAAAGCAATCTCAAGGAGGTTTCAGTGCAGCATGCTACTTTGCAACTAATTTTTCTAGCAACGTCTGACAACCACTGTCAATACACATTTTCCCCCAGTTACTAGGTTACCAGGGGGGTCAATGGCAGGTCTTTACACCTGAGTGGGGGCTAAGATAGTGTATTATCGCCCCAATGAACTCAGAGATAAAAAGTAGTAGCAGCAACAGTAATTACCCATGTTATTCAATCTAGACTTCCATAACAAGCCTACCTACGCACAGATAAAATTGAACTTCACGGAAAGAAGGTTCTGGTCAGTGGCCGTCCGCTGCTCCGAGTACTTGGACATGGGTTAAATATAGAGAATTAGTTTCACTACAGGGATCAATAAAAAGATATCCTTCCAGGCTGAATTCCTTTACAGTTGCTCGGTACAAATAACATAAGTTATCCCGTGCAGTGTAGGTGATGACATTTTTAGTGCACTCACTTTTAAGGTTTTTCCCCGGAGAAGGGATTTAATTATCTGGTGAAGCTGTTGGCTTGTACACTGTTTCTGTTGTTGTTGTTGTCATCGTTTCTGTTGTGGATGCTGTAGCATTTGGAACTGTTCTCCCAGATCTCTGCCTTTTCTTTGGTCAAAACCAGGAAAATAGGTTTGCACGTGCACCTCAGATGGGCGTATGATTTATTCATTGCGTTTCCTGCCCCTGACATAATGCCAGTGACATTACATCAAATAACGACCTGCAGTTGACCTAATCACTCCCTCCAAATCTCAAAGATTCCCATGTTTAGAGCTGAAAGCGCTCTCCTGATGAGATACGCGGATGTGCTCTTTCTTTGCTTCTCGTCTGTGTGAGGATGTCAGCTCTCTCCTTAGGAGACACAGTCTACTGTGAGCCTCTTTGCCTTGATGTTGTCACCGTGTGTGTTTTGTTTATGTTTACACTCCCCCTGCAGCACTCATTCTCTCGCCTCCTGTCCTCCTGACTCACTCTCTCCTCCTGACTCACTGATGCACGGCTAAAGATAGCTTAGCATCGCATCTGTGTGGAAACTGGTAACCGGCGCGGCGCACGGCCATATTTACTTCTTGTCTCTCAGGGCGCAATTCATGTAATTAATTAGCGGCTAAACACGTTTGCGTTCGGCTCTTTTGAAAGGGCTGCTGCGCTTCATTTGTCAGGCATCGGGCCTTTGTTTGTGCGTGTCTCGTTCGAGCCCCATCGCCGTATCGATACTAAGAGAATGGAGGCCTGAGTACATCGAGATTAAATCAACGTTGGCCGGCTTTTGATATAAAAGCTTTACCTCAGGAAGTAAAAACCCGGGGGGAGCACTTCATATTTAAATGGAACCTGGCTATGATCAAATTATTTTTTAAGGCCGATCCTCTCGTAATACACGGATGAAGATTATAGTCCATCCATCCATTTTCCATCCAGGGCTAATCTGTAGCAGGGCCAGATTATGGTAGGAGAAATTAAAGGGGTTACCTACTACATTCATATAGTTGTTGCATCAGCAAAATAACTCAGTGTTAATAATAAATGATTGAAACATAAAACAAAAGCTGTCATGCTTTATTTTATACATAATAGAGTAACATCATAGCCCCCAAATCCTGCTCGAATGCTGGAAAAAGTCTGCTCGTTTCATCAATCAGCACCGAGATTCAGGCCCACACATTTACATACAGTCTTCATTACTGGGTAACACCAGCACCCATCGAGACCTCACTAACAGGCATCACATGGCAAGATAAGAGACACACATACCCCACCTCCTCTCAGCGCTACTCTTCAAAGCCATTGCACTTCAGACGGCACTGCCAAGCAATACACAACTGTGCAAGCTTCCTCTGCCACTCTTTGAAAGTTCCTCGAGCTCCTCTTCCATGTACCATCACTTCGCCCGCTGTCATCCCCCCAGCATTCCTCCGACTCCCTCTTCTTTCTCCCTCTGTCTTTTATGCCCCTTTGCCTCTAAATATAGGCAGAAATACAGAGTTCCTTATCTTATAAACCCATCAAACATACAGCTGTCCAAGGTGGACCGGGGAAGGAAATTATATGTCAGTCAAAAGTTCTATCTGTTAATACCGGCCGTCTCACCCTCCCTTTAAGTACAAGCAAGGGCGATTTAATGTCAGCGTGTAGCCGTGCTGATGTCAGCTATGAAAATACGGGAGCAAATTATTTGAGGCGCACGGCAGAACGAGTCAACAAGCAAGCTGCATTTCTACATTTCTACCTCGATGCCATTTTGCAGTAACAGTGAGTTCAGCTGAAAGCGATGGTAGGTACAACAGATTCAAAGGGGCTTAACAGACACTGGTCAGTTTCTGGATGTGTGTTTGTGCTAAAGTCAAAAATGGAGCGATTTGCAAGGAGCTCACTCACCAGAGCACCTCACTGTCAGCAGAGAGCCCGTCTTAATTGACCTTCCTGATGAATTCAAGCTAGGGCAGACTTAATTGGTACCTATTTTGGTGCGTTTTCTTGCGTATGCAGGAGCCGAACTGTCACACACATGCAGACGCCATCTGACTTTTAATGATTAAATACAGACTTGGGCAACTCCAACTGGCCTCGAGTGAAGCAACTTCATTTCAGTCGCTATAAGATAAAGCCGTCCAATTACATTTTTCTACATCCATTAATTTAATCACTTAAAGAATTATGCTCCTTGGGATTTTCTTGCAAATAGAAAAAGTACTCGATACACAGAAGAAGAAACAGGTGGTATCTAGAGGTCTCCTCACTCTATATTGGGGGAAAAGTATAAAAGAAAACACAAAATATGGATAAACTTGATTGTCTCAGAATTTGCTCAATCTAGTAAATCTGACACAGTTCTTCCCACAAAGCCTCTTAACTCTCCTCTCTATCTCTCGTTCACTCTCTAGGTGTGGCCTCATACATGTGCATGGGCCCCGAAGGATACTGGGACTCCCAGGGGCCTGACTTTAGCAACTGTACCTCGCCTTGGGTCAACATCATCAGCCAAAAGGTAACAGAAGTAAAGATGCACAGATTCACAGGGTAAAAAATTTAGTTCATTGACTGCTTTTGTGTGTGTGTTTGTTTTTCCTGATTAGCAATTATCACACATTTTTCTTTAGAATAAAATTGTAGGAAAAAGCCTGAAGATAGCCTGGAGGATTTGGCTTTGAGCTTAAATGTATTTGGATTTAGGTTGAACACAACGGCGCCCTTTTACCTTATTCTGACGAACGTTCGCCTCAGATCACAATGCACATTGGGGATGTGTACATCATTTGTACTCAGAGGACTTTAGTTTTTGTGTGGGTTTTTTTTTTTCTCCTTTTGTCCTATTGTCTCTTCTTAATTGGTCCATTAATGTCATCGATTAGCCAGAGGCTTTACTCAATAGAAAGGTTATTCTTGTGCGTGCATGTGTTTGGCGTGAGTGGGTGGCTGGGTTGGGTTGGAGTGAAAACCAATACCACAGGATCATAGTGTAATAGCCTGCTGTGGGTAACAGCTAATGCAGACCGCTTTCTGTCTTACATGAACCGGCGGTTATTTGCATTCTATACTTCTCAAGTGCAAACGATTCGGATCTCCTCGTCTGCAGGCGAGTTATTATGCAAAGCTCCATATTTATAAAGCTCCCTTTGTTAAAATCTGTAAGGGAATCAAATCTTAAAGGAGGGGAAGGTTACTGCAAGAGAGGATCAGGGTTCCAGGTTATGAATTGCAGGCAGTGCTGCAAATGTTCTCCCTTAAACTCATAGGACCCCGAGGCGTACATGCTATAACACTTATGGTGTACTCGACGGCACAAAGCTCAGCCCATTAAACAAACGGCAGTTTGCGGATATGGATGGAGAACGGCTGTTGGGTAACAAAATAGAAGGCGGGAAAATTATCAGGTGCATTTCTGTGCAGCGCGGGCCCATTTCAGCAGTGCAATAAAGCTTAGCAACTGGCTGCTGTTTAGAGAAATTAACTACAGCAAAGCTCTCTCTGAACCTGCTGTGGCGGGTGGCTCGATTCAGGTCTAACAGGGTGACTCTAGTGTAGAGTAATGCATGTTAAATTCTACAGAAAGATGTGACAATCAAAATATGCACGCTTTTTTTAAACAAAGGTGTTATTAATCTTTTCTTATTTTTTAAAGCAAATCACACTCCGGCAGCGTGCCTGTCGGAGCAGAGACAGGAAGACTCTAATGAAGATCAACCTGTCAGACAATTGGAATGCCCATCTGGCACTTCGTTATTTTATATCTAGGGCCATTGTCCTGTATGTGGCACTGCTCATTACCAGATGGTTTCTCAAAATGAGAAAGGAAGATATAAAGCATGAAAAGGAAAGGAAATGACACGAGACAAGCAGAAGGGAGAAAAAGAAAGCGGAGCTATTTACCTAGCATCCCCACATCCCCTCATTAAGAGACGAGAGCAGGGAGGGTAAAGAGGAAAACATCTTCCAAAGAAACATTCCTCTGCTTACACCTCTGTAAAGACCAATTTAAGCAGCCTAATTGGCTTCACTAATAAACTCACAGGCGATGATAGCAGGTAATGTCAGAGTAAATCAGGACGATCCTGTTTTAGATGATACCACCACTGTTTTGGGGCTCATCTTACGACTCGATTAGTTCAATCTTTAAAGGGAACTGACCCAGAGCGTAAGACCCAGATACGTTTTGGGCATGTAATCAACTCTAGATTTATTTACTGAGGCTACATGGTTTCCCATTGTAGTCATCGGCATATGCAACATGCAGGGCTGTCTTATCAGTCACCATTGCTGACAGGTAATTTCAAGCATTACTCATTAAAGTGATCTGTTTCTCAGTAACTGTGTGATTTCTTTCTAAAAGAATGTGGCATTTATTTTATTTCTTTTTCATTTAAATCTCTGTTGTCAAAGCATTTTGAACAAAAGCAGCATTTTGTTGGCGTCAGGGGAAACCTTTTTATATATTATTTGAAGAAATTCCTGTAACTGCTTTGTTTTTGTTTTAAATAATGTGCTCTTTGGGAAGTTATTGAGGAAAAATTGTTGGTTTTGCTTTTTGGTGGAAACTCTGAGCAAAAATGAAAACTGTGGGTAGCAGTTTTAAGGTTACTTAGCTACTAGCTAAGTAGGCTACTAGCTTACTTAGCTAGTAGCTTACTTAGCTTACTAGCTAGCTCTAGCTCATCTGTTGGTGTTTTAATATTTTTCATTTATGTTTCGCAAGCATACTATAATAGGTGATAGTGAAAAAACTCAGTTTTTACTTTTAGTTTGATATTTGATATCTTTCACTGCATATAAAAAGCTAGTTTTACATTTTTGCTAATATGTTTCATCAGCAAAGGGATTCAAAACACAGCATCCAGTACTTATTTTGTTTAAGTTCCACAAATCAAACTTCAGCAATGAAGAAATGCAAAGCTTTACGGACCTGCTTACTGTGCAAAACTCTCACTTCTTTGTATTTTGCTTCCAAGGAAGCTGAGGTTCTTGTCTTTAGCAAGTTTTTATTTGGACATTTGCAGCTTTTCACTCATTCTTAGTCCAGTCCTTACACGTGACAATTTTCAGAGCAATATTTTTTTGTTTGTTAAGCCGATTAACACTAACCTGTGAATCTGTCGAGCACAAAAAACAGCACCTAACTCAATAGATAAACCAGCGTTCTGTCTACACAGAGCAGAAAAAGTTGGTATTTTAGCCACTTTGCAACTATTAGCCTGCGACAAAACATAAAATTTGTTCCCACTGCTTTAATTTCTTCAATTCTACTAAAAATTGCAAGAATAATATCGTTTGATGGGCATAAATTAGTGTTTGTGCCCCAACCAGGTGATTCCCCTTGGTATGGTGTAATTCCTGATGACTGCTGTACTTAAAGAAATGACAGAAAAGCCTGAAACAGTTTGGGCTGTGTTAAAGAATACCATGTATTAACTTTCAGGCTTGTCAATTGCACAGTTTTTGTCTTATATATTTATATATTTACATGTATATTTGCATGTTTCAGTAAACCACTGCAGTCATTTTCCGTTATCTTAGCAAAATATAAAGAAATGATGTTAGCTCAAGACTTTCTCACAGTACTGTAAAGTAGCTAAGCTATGATTGAACGATGACATTTCATAGGAGGGCTTAAGAGAATGTCAGAAGCTTTAATTTTACAGTATATATACATTTGGCTGAACTGTTTCTGCAGTGAAAACTGGAAGTAATGTTTAAGATATGAAAGGTTCACTGTGCAAATAAAAAAAGCAATAATTTTCATACAACAATAAAAGGGTGACGGTGAGAGTAATCGTTTTCTCATTGTCAGATTCTAGCACAACTTGTTGAACTTCATATATTCAGCGCTGTGTATACACTGTTATCCCCAAGCTGCACTGCTCTCTATTAGTTTTTACAAAGGTGTAAGGCTTTCTTGGGAAATTCCCTCAATAGTCTCATAATTATGTCTGGATGCAATATTGGCTCCTAGTGTTCAGTCGGCTGAGGATCGTCTCACCACATTAATTGTGTGCGATATTGCAGCAGTTGCAGAAAAGGTTTAGGTTAAACGCCTTTTATTTTAGGGGGCATTATACATGAATACAGTAATTTGTCATGTTTTCTAGAGTGTTCTTTTTGAATGCCACAGCAGCAAAAAGCAAAGGACCTGGGGTTGTTTTGATTTGCGTTTAGTTATAGAGAAAAACACTCCGTACAAGCCAGCCGCCTCGTTTAAAAACTTCACAAATTCAGCTTTAACTGGATTGGCTGTCCCATTCCTTAGATAAAAGCCGGAGAGACGGCGGCGGTCATCGCCCGGGAGCTGGCAGAGCAAACCAAGAGCAATCTTCAGGCGGGGGACATCACCTACACGGTGAAGGCCATGGTTCAGCTGGTGGATCTGCTTGACGTGCAGCTGAGGAACCTCACACCAGGTGGCAAAGACAGTGCAGCACGGAGCCTCAATAAGGTATCGGAGGAAACTGGTTTACACATATTTATTTATTTATTTTAAAAAAGAAAAAAAAAATCTGCATTCAGGCTGGATAAACGTGACCTGTGAGGAAGGTGACCCACGCCTGTGTAAGCATAAAATGAAGCAACAATAGGGTGAATGATTTGATTTGCTAGAGCTGCTTTTGTGTGTAAGCATCCACTAATTCCGACTGTTAAGTTTCCGGTCTTGAGGCCTGCCTACCGCAAGGCTTCAATCCGAACCCGACCAGTAGATATTCTTTTAATTATCTGCCGCTTGGCTCTGTGCTGTTGAGTAAAATGATATTCCCCGTTTTCCCCTGTAGTCTGCCTCATAATAAAAACCGACTTTCAATTTTGAGCACTTCTCTTACACTAAGTGCAATCAATTTTTACACTGACGCAGTTTTAAAAGTTGCCGTCCACGCGCCGTGCTTGTCAGCAGCACAACATTTGCCCCGCTTGTGGTTTTTGTTTTTACTAATGCGACGGGGTAAGATTCCAGCGGGCTGCATGCGAGCTGTGGGGGGTGCAGAGCGTTTCATATTCGCTGAACTTGAATCTAATGTATTTATTACCCAATTCACAGCAGAGCACAGTAAGGGGCACTCAGGCAGAGAGAGCAAAAATAATACTTTCTATCTCCTGAGCGGCCAACAGAAAAGCAAACATCAGTGAAATTCAAAATGTCACTCGTTAATTTCCTGGAGCGGCATCACTTGTAGACGAACTCGAACACCTGTTCTCAGATTGCTTTTTTGGGACTGTTTTTTATTTCATTGCTGCAACAGACACAGATGTCCCTATTGAGGTTTTAGTGCCAGTTTTCTCCAATGGAGAGGGAAGGCAGTAAAGATGGCCAAAAGGCCTCAGAAGGGAAACTTGATGAGTGAAAACACATCGGAGCAACTAGAGTTTATAATACCTCTCGAAAAAATAAATACTGGCTTCACATAAAACAGACTGTTTGAGGGAGAGGCGACTAACGAGGTGGCGGTTGCCACCTAAGTCTTTAGTCCCTTTTTTAAAGTTGATGAAATGGCAAAAAAAAGAGAGAAAGCAGCCGTATTGAAGGGGTGAGGCGGAAAAGCTTTTGCAACAGGGATAATTTATTCAAGAGGTCAGGGCTTTCCAGTGATTTATAATTCTCTGTCTGCTGATATACAGTCCATTTTTTGCAGTACGGTGCATCTATGGAACAAAAAAACGTCCCTACGGGTTTTTCTTGTGCTCTGCATCCCTCACCAGTGAGACGTCTCCCAACGGAGACACCGGAGTCCACAAAACTCTTCTTCTTCTTCTTCTCTGTTTTGGCAATACCAAATGTTTCGCCCTTGAGTTCAATCATTTTGACACAATCTGCTAAGCAAATTAAAGATTTTTTTCTTCTTTTTTTTGTTAATATAATGAAGCAGAGCAGACTTTGCCAGCAAACAATGAAAGGATTGAGTTGGCAAACGGTGAGATCAGTGTCGTTTTCATGATCAAACGGTTAGCTGGCTAACGGTGCGGATGGGAACGCTTCCAGAAGAGTGGGCTGTGATGTAGAGCAAGAGCCTCCTTTATGGGGAAATGGTACTCTTTGGAGCTAATCTGCATGGGATTTAGCATGGTACTAGAACCTATCTGTTAAGCCACACAGCGGCTCTGTTGGCTACACCGCCTGTATCAGAACTCAATTAAAATGATTCACTCCCCATGCAGTCCTAACAGCACTTCTTTGTGCCTCAGCTCCCTGTCTGTGTTTTTTTTCTTTCTTTCAGGTATGCTAAAATGCTATTAGCATTAACTCTTCTTCGGTGGTGGCAGACGTTTAATGGATAACTGCACCGTGTTCTCTTGGGAAATTTCTCAAATAAAACATAAAACTTAAAATGTGACAACCTAGAAATCAAAGTTAAGAGTGTCATGCAGTATGCTTTTTCCTACTGGTCTCGTATGTCTAATTTTAGGGCTAATTAACACGAGTCTACTTTTTTTTTTCACATGTTACGCAGTCATTGTGCCAAGTGCTTTTCATAAAACTGTAGAGTGAATTTTTTAGTTTCTCACTTACTTTGAAATCTGTACTTCAAGCTGAAATGTTTCATGTGGAATTGCCTGACTCTTTTTTTTTATGCTAACTCTTGAATTTCTTTGGGTTGCAGTTGCAGAAGAGAGAGCGCTCATGTCGGTTTTATGTTCAGGTATTTGGACCAAATTCTATTCCTTACTTCCTGCTCTTCGTTTCCTCATTGTGGTAACTTGTGCTGTCGTTTTCCATTTTTAACCACAGAATGTGAAATTTGGCCTTTTGAAGTGGCGCCCAGTGCCACAGTATCAAAGTCACTACATGTGTGTGCCATGTGTTGCCTTTCCTTGCAACACTTGTCTTAAATCAAAGGGTCAAATTTCATTTTTGTCATTGTGTCTCAACTTTTAGTTTATTATTCATATTTTTCACCCACCACCCTGCATGCATATGACATGTAATGATAGTTTCTTGGCACGAGCCTGAGAGTTCCTCTATTTTGAGATGCCATAGATCCTTTGTGGATTTTCTCAAGTGTCTCAATCATTTTAAAAATGCCCCAGAACTAT